CTCAATAAAGATCTGAAACCCTTGTGATTATGATGCTCTACTGTTTCTCGCCAATTGAGCTTGGATATTCTAAACCTTCTTGTAGGTTGAAGTTCTTAGCCAGCTACGTCATCCACACATGGTTTTACTACTTGGAGCCTGTCCTGAAAATGGGTGTCTTGTCTACGAATACTTGGAAAATGGAAGCCTTGAGGAATGTCTTTTCCGTAAAAAGGGCACACCACCTCTTCCTTGGTTTGTTAGGTTCAAGATTGCTTTTGATGTAGCTTGTGGGCTTGCATTCTTGCACAAYTCAAAGCCAGAACCAATCATTCATCGGGATCTGAAACCAGGAAATATCTTGTTAGATGGGAATTTTGTCAGCAAGATTGCAGATGTTGGGCTGGCTAAACTTATGTCTAACATTGTACCTGACAACATCACGGAGTATAGAGACTCTGTTCTTGCTGGTACTCTACATTACATGGATCCAGAGTACCAGAGAACTGGTACAATCAGACCAAAATCAGACATATATGCATTTGGAATTATCACCCTACAATTGTTGACAGCTTGCCATCCAAATGGACTGTTGATAAAAGTGGAAAATGCCATCAACAATGGTTCCTTTGCTGACATATTAGACAACTCGGTTGCAGATTGGCCACTTGCAGAATCAGAAGAATTAGCGCGGGTTGCATTGAAATGTTCCAGACTTAGATGCAGGGATAGACCAGATCTCGAAGCTGAAGTTCTGCCAGTTCTCAAAAAGCTTTCAAGTATAGCAGCTTCAAGTGTTAAACTACAAAAAAACATCTATTCACCAAGCCACTACTTCTGTCCGATCCTTCAGGTGCACAGTCTAAACTCTAACAAAATGGTTGTCCAATGCAARAGTATAGTTATTTTAGCTGTCATGCCCACTAATTCTTTCTATTGCACTGCATATAAACGTAGGAAATAATGGAGGATCCATACATTGCATCTGATGGATTCACCTATGAGTACAGAGCGATAAAGGCATGGCTTGAAAAACACAGCATATCTCCTGTGACAAAGCTTAAGTTTCCACATACCCGGCTAACTCCAAACCATGCGCTGCGTTCTGCCATCCAAGAGTGGAAGCCACGTGTATCATTCTCAAGTTCCTGATGGAAAAAAGTGTACTGTTGTAATTGGAAGAAGATTACCCCTTGTACCTCGACACAACTCAAGAAAGTCAGAAAGATGTATGTACGTATGTATACTTGTATAGTTCAATGGAAGAATTTTCTCCTTTTTTAATTAGCCACATTTATATATAAATGTATGAACGTATGTATATAATTTTTAGCAGTGTTAAATAATAGAATAATTCAAAATMAAAAACAGGCAGGTACTTATCGGTTTGTAACAATTGATTTCAGTTTGTGAGGGTCGAGTATTTTGTAAACAGTTGAGCAAGTAAGTATTCCTAATACAGTTTGCGTGTGGGTTTGTGATAGTTTAAACTTTAATATGGG